TATTCGCGTCACGTAACCTTCGTGCACTTTCAAAATTGGAAAATATACTTTTGATATTTATCTGCGAAAAAAGGAATTACACGTGACAACATAAAAATCGAATGAACTCGTTCGTTTCTTTTTTCAAAGTGCTAAAAATGTAAAGTTTCATGAAGTTAACGATTTGTAAATTTAACTTTTAACAACTAACTTAAAATTATTTTCTTTTCTCGGATGATGGAAATTTTTTTTTAAATTTATCAATATTCAAGCTATAAAATATATTATTTAATGATATAGAATAACTTCAACTAAAAATCAATAATTTACATAATAAGATGCTGATATAAAGATTCATATATTCATATTCTAGGAATAAATGTCGTCATCTATAAATGTTTTTTAATTTCGTTTAAAATTTTTTTAATTTTGAAGAAAAATATTAACAAGATATGTTATTTAAAATTCAAGTCAAATATTCATTTTTTTAATAAAATTATAAACTAAAAGCCAAGTTTTTTTTTTTACAAAATAGATTTTTTATCTAAATAATTAAACATTTTAATTGATTATTATTATTATTTTACTTGAAAATTAAAAAGAAAATGAATCATATAGGAATCCATTTCACTCTGACCTATAAAGAAACAATCAAAATTTGTATTATTAAATTATATCGTAACTTAAAATTTAACAATGTTTGATAATTTATATCACTTGATATTATAAATCAATTTCATTCTCTCGATATTATTATTTGATCTCAAATATAAATCATAAATCATTGAAGCATGAATTCCAAATCTATTATTAAAGTTATAAATTTTTTATGTAACTCAAAGTATATAAAATACTGATCTATTATGTCTCTAATAATCTTATAATACGTAACTAGTTCAATAAAGAAAAAATATAATTTTCAAGTAGTAATTTCAGAGATATCAATGTAGATTTGTTTCTAAGAAGATTTTATGATAAAATCCATTGTTATTCTTGTTATAATTACATATAATTACAATATAAAAACTATGACGTCATTAAACAACGTATTGACTAATACGAACCGTGTTTCGAGAAATTGCACTAAAATATGTTAATCATTTATTATTAATTTCAAACTTGATCGGAAATTAATAATCTGATTAATGTTTTCCATAAGAAATTATGTAACTGAAAATGCAAATATTATAATAATTCTCATACTTATTTTCTGGGAAATCAATCGTTGCCGAAGATAATAAAACGTCATTTAAAAATTAACATTTTTGCTCGCGGCAAGAATATCGTTTATAATTATGTTACTTTGAAAACTTCAAAATTTATTTTACATTTAAATACGGTAAGATAAAATAATTTTATCTAATAATTTATCATATAAATATCAAAACTTCTATATTTACTTGTTACTACAATTAATAATAGATGTATATGATTAATAATAGATTTTAATCCTAAAAATTTATTTCATATTTCATGAGATTGCACTTTCTTGCCATCTGTATGTACGTATGATCCATGATTTAAAATGAAATAGATTTCAAAATACGTAAAAATATTTCAGATGACGATTTAATGTAAAAAATTATCAAGATTTTATTCATTTCGAATTTCAAGAGAAATAGCGTATTATTAGATTTATTTTTCAAAATCCTTCAAAAATTCTTAAAATAACTTTTGATGAAATTTTTATAATGAAAAACTTTAATTCGACGCTTTATTTCAAGCATAAAATTTCAGATCAATGCACAACACCGAATCAAGAAGCAGGCGTATGCATCAATATCAGAAGCTGCCAATTTTTGATGACATTGTTAGAGAAGGAAGGCTTAAAAGTTAGAAACTACCTTAAGCAATCTCTGTGCAGGTATGAAAACAACGATCCATTCGTTTGCTGCCCCAGCAAAGAGAATCCAGGCAGAGAGAGCAAAATAGTAAAAGAAAATTTGTATGGACCCCTGTTACCACCACAATGTGGTTTCAATAATATCAGTCACACAAGAGTAGTTGGTGGTATCCCAGCTAAACCTGGTATGCATTATAAATATTATCTTATTTATATTGATCTTTTTTGATTAAGCAATTTAATAATTTTTATTCAATAATAAAGTAATTTATTTATTATTTATTAATTATAATTTATTAATAATTATTATAATTATTCAAGTTGAAAATAGAAACATTGAAATAGAAATAAAATAATAGAAATTTATAGAAAAAATATAATAGAAAATTATCTGATTAAATAAAATTTATCCGATTGAATATGAAATCGAGAATAATTTTTAGTTGATTATTTTAATCCATTCAAAGAAAAGTTAATTGAAAATATTTATCATATTTTTTTTTTAAGGTGCTTGGCCTTGGCTTGCCGCATTAGGTTTTCGTAGTTCGAACCCTTCGCAACCAAAATGGCTATGTGGAGGTTCCTTGATATCAGCTAGACACGTTCTAACTGCGGCACATTGCGCAATTCATAACAATTTATACTTGGTGCGTATCGGAGATTTAGATTTATCACGAGATGATGATGGCGCTCATCCTATTCAAGTGGAAATCGAAGATAAATTGATACATCCTGATTATAATACTGAGACATTCGTAAATGATATTGCCGTTCTCAGATTAGCCCAAGATATACAATTTACGGGTAAATCTAAATAATTCTTTACAATTATTATTCTGTCTCAAACAGAATATTAAATATTAAAAAGATATTAAAAAATTATAAAGACAAATTAAAAAAAAATACTAAAGATATATCTTTACTAAAAAAAATTTTTCTATATTTATTTTTTAAGATTTATTTAAAATTTCTAATAAATTTAATTATTAAAAATTCTACACTTCTTTTTTGAATTTTTCCAATTAAACATTTTAATTTTCATTATTATTTTTCCAGAATACGTATATCCCATTTGTCTTCCTGTAGAAGACAATCTTCGAAACAATGCCTTCAACCGAAACTATCCCTTCGTTGCTGGATGGGGATCAACTGAAACCCGTAATTAAAATCATTTTATTACAATATTAAATAATTCTAGTTTTTTCAAATTATTTCTTCATCTTTGCACAGGAGGACCAGCTAGCAACATATTATTAGAGGTACAATTGCCAGTAATCAGCAATGAACAATGCAAACAGGCTTATTCCAATTTAAAACCGCTGAGATCGATAATCGTGTATTATGCGCTGCATACAGACAAGGTGGAAAAGATGCTTGTCAGGTATTTGAATTTTATCTTTTCTTTTTGATATCTTTATCTACTATTTATTATTTATTAAATCATTATAAAATATATAATCAATTATATATTAATTATAATCAATTATAACGAAGATTAAAGATCATCTGTTTCTTTATTTTTTTTTGATCAAATTTTATTTTTACGATCATTTCAGGGTGATAGCGGAGGACCTCTAATGTTACCACAACATCGGTTTTATTATCAAATAGGGGTTGTATCCTATGGTTATAAATGTGCTGAACCCGGATTTCCTGGAGTCTATACTAGAGTTACTACTTTTCTCGATTTTATCATTTCAGCATTGCAATAAAGTCAATAATGCTTCAAGAATAAATTTCTTTCTGAAAAAAAAGTTGAAATTTAGTATTGTTCAGATAAGAAACAATTGTTTTATAGTTTATGATACACGTGTACATATGTATAGATATAACTTTAAAAGTCATCACTTATTTGACCATATATTATACCATAAATTAATTGACTATTGAACTATTTTCTGTATTAATACATAATAATAATCTATAGAAAAATCATTGTTATTGTTTATATTTAATAGCTGCATACAAAAGTTAAATTTATAAATAACATAAAAAGAGAATACTCAAGATGATCTTTGATTCCTTAAAAAAATTCATATAATAAATTAATTAAGATTGAGATTATTTAATTTCTTCACATCTTCTGATTTGAATTTTCAATTGAATAGTTATATTATTTTTATTATTATTTTTAATATTATTTTTCTTAATTTTTTAAGGATTCATACTTTTAAAAATAATTATAAATTTATGTAGAAATAAGTTGAGAATTGATCATTAACATCATCTTTTGAATGTCAAAGATATTTCTTTAAAGATAATAATATGGTAAATAATAAAGTAGAATAAAAATTATCAGTACCATTGAATAATTTTAAAATTAAAATATCTTTGGCATTCAAGAGATAGCGCTGATGATTAATTCTTATCGTGTTTATATTTTTCTCCTACTAAACATGAAAAAGTATTATATGTACTATACTTTTATATATTCTGTGTTTATTTGTCTATGTTTATATATCAAATACATTTTACGCAATCGATTTTAAAACGTGGAAAGTTAAAATTAAATAAGTTAAAAAGAATCCTATAAAATGGATAGATCTATCCTATATTTTGGTTATGATAATTTATAATTTTTTTTCTAAAACATCCTAAAACATAAATGTTATTTTATATTATTTGAACATATGATTTTTTATTTTTGTAATAGAATATTTCTTAATCTATTTTTGATTAATACTTTTATTAAATTTAACATTATAAGATAATAATATAAAAATATAATTATAAATCATATATCTTATGATGTTAAAATTTATATTTTACTTATGATGTTAAATTTTTCACTTTGAATTACAGCAATATTACAATTTTATTCTATCATTAATATTGCAATTTTATATTGAAAATAACATTAAAATACTTAGAGGGATTTTGCGTCATGAATCAAGAAAATATATCAAATATTGGCTCTATATCTTATTTGTGCTCAAATCTATAAGATTTTATTTTATATTTTGTTTCTAATAACAGATCTGTTCTATATCTCATAGTTTAAAAAATAATAAAAGAATTTACAAATCTTTTTATGCAAAACTTTATTAAATACATATACAATTAATTACTTGGTTTATCGACAGAGCACTAATATATTTGCTTATTTAAGTGACTATACAATTCAAAGAATTTTCGATAGATAGATATATAAGATAGATGTTATAGGGTCATTGACAATCTACTTATTATTTCGTTTAAGATATCGAGACGTACAATCCAATAGAATTCCTTCAACTATAATGACGTTTTAGTGAGTAACGAATTGAACTATTGGGGGCGTTCGCTGACCATACTACTTGACGACTCTCGTGTGTGTTCAGCATTGTAGAAGAAAACATTGTTTTGGATTTGTGTGCAGTAAAACTCGTCACTATACAGTAATGACGTCCCGCCTGGAAAAAGAACGTTCCAAGCAAATACAAGAAAAATGTCAAAATCTTTTGATACAGATGCTACGTGACGAAGATAACAAGTATTGTGTCGACTGCGATGCAAAAGGTTCGTGCATCAATTGTATATTTTCTAGCAATGTCTTGTCTCTGTTCAACTGATGAACCCTCATTATATTATGCACTCCTTACGAACGTTGTACGAATTATATTTTTATAAGTAATAATGCATTTATAGCATCGATATTGATTTGAAAACGACCTAGTTTTGTCTATTAGGATATTATAGATTTTTAATTCTTCTATGATAAAACCTTAGATGACAGCGACTTCGAGTAAACGTCACTTCGTTTTCCTAGTTCATTATTTCTTATTTTTGAATATATTTTTCTATTTCTATTTTTCAATAAAAAAGTTTTTATATAAACAAAATTTTTTTATTTTATGTATTTCATATTACAATAATAAATCTACAAAATCTCTAGAATTATAACCTGAATTCTTAAATTCTTCCAAATGCTTAATTTATTTTAACTTGTATTATTTTAGTTATTTTGATATTTAAATTCTATATAAAAATAAAATGTTATAATATATAATAAATTCTTATATTATTAATAAAAAAAACATTCTTTTATATATATTTTAATAACATTTATATGTTGCATAGGACCAAGATGGGCTAGTTGGAATTTAGGTATATTCTTATGTATTCGTTGTGCTGGAATACATAGAAATCTTGGAGTTCATATAAGCAAAGTTAAATCTGTTAACTTAGATACTTGGACACCAGAGCAAGTAGTGGTATGTTTAGTTAATTGTCTTCATGTTTCAAATTATCAATATTTTTTGATAATTTGATAATTAATTATTGATAAAAAGAACTTATTGCATCACATTTTTATTTTTAGAGTTTACAACAAATGGGTAATTCCCGTGCAAGGGCAGTATATGAAGCAAATCTTCCAGATAGTTTTCGAAGACCTCAAACAGTTTGCAGTCTTGAAAGTTTTATTCGTGCAAAGTATGAACATAAAAAATATATAGCCAGAGAGTGGGTACCACCTCCTTTACCAAAGGTAATATATCAAAATTTTAATAAAAAATATATTCATATAGTATATATACATATATATGTATATATAAAACTTTAAGTACAAACTTTTTTTTAATAAATATATAGGTTAATTGGGATAAAGAGCTTGATGAAGAAGCAGAAAGACAACGTAGAAGGAAAAAAGAAAATTCTAAAACATCTAATAATCAAGCTATACTTCCACCTGTAAAAAAGTCAGAAGTAGTGCCTCAGTTGCCAAAACCTAAAAGCTCTGTTAGTCCTAAACTTAATAGAGCAAATAATTCTGCAACCCTAGATTTACTAGGCTTAGGTAATTTTTTAAATATATATTTCATTATTAATATAAAATATTTATACTTTTTAAAAAATTTTTAACAGATGCTCCGGCAATAAATCAAACAAATATAAATGGTGCTGGGGATGATATATTTTCTTCCTTTTTATCTGCACCTCCAGTTTCAGTAGCTTCAACAACTAATAATACTTCTAGTACAACCACAAATGTATCAACAACAATAAGTAAAACTGAAGAAGAAAGTTTCTTTGATCAACCAGCACCATCACCTCAAGAAAAAAATAAAATGTCCAAAGATAGTATTTTAGCCTTGTATGGTACATCAAGTAATCAACAATCAACAATGTTTGGAGTTCCTGGTACATTTATTTATTATAATTGAAATATTGATGCAATTTTTCTTATATTATTCTTATTTAGGTGGAATGTATGCTCAACAATCTACTGTTCAATATAAACAAGTACCAACTGTAATACCATTTGGTCAACAAACTAGTTTTCCAAATCAACAAAGTTCCTTAACTCAACTTAATCAACTTTCCAACCAAATATCTAATCAATTACCTATCAGTCAAAATCAAATTGCAATGAATTCTACTCCATTAGGATCAGTGGCATCAAATTCTTTAGGAAATTGTTTACATGTAGGCCAGATAAATCAGATGAATGGTGTACCCAATCCTACTATTACAATGCAATCTCAAATGGTATATATAATATATATTAATATATTCTATTTGTTAATACATTATTTAATTCATATATTATTAGGTAATGCAATTAGGACAATCTAATATTAATAGTAATAATGGTTGGAGTGGAATGTTAACACAAAATCTTCAACCAGCTCCTGGTAGTAATCCTTTTTTAATTTAACATCACAACAGCAACAACAATCTATTGCGTTTGGTTCTCAGGTATATAAATTCAGATATGTAATATAATAATGTATTGATATAATAAAAATTATAAATATATAAATATTTCAGTTACCACAACAAATGGCACAACTTTCTTTAGGTGCCACAAGTTTTTCAAGTACTTCAGGAAAATCCACTACTACTGCACTTCCCGGACAAACGCTTTCCACCAATTTGTGGCAGTAAAAGTTTTATGAATATTATTAGTTGATTGATTATTTCATTCAGTGTTGTACACTAGTGTCAAACGTTCGTTATCCAATATGATTATATTTCCATATTAGTTTGGAAATTGCTCTGGGATATAACACAACAAAGACACAAATAAGAAGTACTCAAATACTATCATTTTCGAAAAATAATTCGTGAATGCATATAGTATTTTGAGTTTAAGAGATTTCTCTTTTAAAGCTTTGCTAGCTTTCAACATTATTGTTGGAAAAATGGGAACTACAATAATAATGAAATAAAAATGAATTTTTGACTGATTGTAAAGAGTTATTCGTGACGTACAGTATATACATTATATTCAATGTAATTGTATTATTTGCTAAAATGGGTGCTTTTGTAATCATGACAAGTGTATATCAGGGTCCACTTTCATCATAGCAAAAGATTTCATTATATTTAAACAAGTACAAGCATCTTTAGTATAATGATTAGTAATTCATTTTTACTTTAAAAAATAGAAAAAAACAAAATACATAATAGTTTTCACGAACGTAAAATTCTTTAACAAATTATATATAAAAAACTAATTTATTTAAAAAAGGATTTGAATTATTTAAGAACAAATTTTTTTCTAGAATAATGTTGCAAGATTTGTATGCAAAAATGTATTAAATATTTTAAATATTTGATTGCTATTTTTATGTATTATTGAGTATTGAAATTGAAAAAAACGATATTTTGTGTTTAAAAAATTAACTGTTATTGTTTGTACTTGTAGTGTGTTGTTTAGAGCATTTTATTGATAAATTGCAATATTGATTATATTAAAAAATATTAGAGTTTCATATTCTTTATCAATTTAACACTTTTTATTAAAATGCATTTAATATTTTTATTATTATCTAACAAAGACTTAATGAAGTAAACATATTATTTACATCTTAATTATAGCATATATGATAAACTATAAAAATTTATGACTTAAAATTGATGCATTTAAAACTGAATTTTAATTTTGATTGATTGATTGATTATTATTAATTAAAACTTTATATAAAACAAAATTACATATATATTTTTATACTTTTTAAATATAATTTAATAAGTTATATGATATCAAACATTAAAATTCGACAATAATTTTTAGACATATTCGTCACGATTGTTTTATTTTATTATTTTATTTTTTTTTTTTATATTATTATTTAAATTAAATTTTCTAACTTGTTGCTGCATTGAAATATTTTAAGATATTGTAAATCTAAAAAGTACAAATACACGTTGTCAAAATATATAAAAATTTATAATATATAACTACATAACTAATTTATAATATATAATTTATAAAAACCAAATAACAATTGAGCAATCAATCAATTTTAAAAAGTTTTTAATTAATAATAATAATAATAATTACATAAAATAATAATTTAAGAAATAATTATAATATAACATATTCATTACTTTTTTTAAGTATATAAAAATACATTAAAAACGTGCTTAAATTCAAAACGCCATCTATTAATAGATACATTATACTGATAATATATTTTTGTTTAAGATAATTAAATAATTTTTATTTTTACAAAATATATCTTACTAATTATAAACATATTTTTATATTATCTATTTTTTTATTTTATATTTTTTTATTTCATTTAATTAAACACAATAATAATTTTGCTGGATAAACAAGCCGGAAGTTGCCATTTTTATTACTGGATTGTGAAGGTTCTTTCATTTCCGTAAAACATCTCTTTTCTGTCGTTTCAAATCCACGTGAGACAACATGGATAAACCAGTAGTTTTGGCTCGTGTTATAAAAGTCTTAGGACGAACAGGTTCACAAGGACAATGTACGCAAGTAAAAGTCGAATTTTTGGGTGAACAAAATCGACAAATTATCAGGAATGTAAAAGGACCAGTACGAGAAGGTGATCTCTTAACCTTACTGGAATCTGAACGTGAAGCAAGAAGACTTCGATAAATAGAAGAATTTATCTCCGACACGTAAAAATCTTCTATAGTGTCTGGACTCTAATAATATAATTCATTCCACAACAAAAATGAGGATCACCAATTATTCCAATAGCACAGATAAACTCAGTATGGCCAAATTTCTAATCATCTAATTTTTACATATATATGTCAATGAAGATGTTATAATCTTTGTAATAAATATTGATTAACGAGCAATCAATATCAAAAAAATTTTGTTTTATCTATCTATTTTCATAACATGATTTTTGTTGTAATCACTGAATTACTTAATTATATTAATTATATATATATATATATATATATTTGCGAAAAAAATTATAAATTTTAATAAACATTTAATACTTCTTTTACTTCATTACAGAATATTTACAATGACTTAATGCAAAATTTTTTTATAAAATTGAATTTTAAAGTAATAATTACCATGTGTTTCATGTATAGAAAAATACACGATTCATTTTGTTCATATATTAAAATTCAAACAATATTTATATAATATACATATAATAACTTTACAAATTGTTATATTCTCCTTCGTTTTGGTGGAGGTGTATCACGTGGACTAGAGGATGCTTTAGATGTGCTATCCACACTTTGTCTTGTTGGTCGTTTTGGTCCTCTCTTTAAACTTTCACGACCAGAATCAGAATCTTTACGTTCCTTCTTACCATTTGAAGCTAAAATAAAGGAAGTATTTAATTAATTATTTAATTCTTCTAGTTTCTAAAGATCATTTAAAAAAATGTCAAAAAATATAATATATATATATATATATATATA